GCAGCGGCATCGTCACAGCTCACGGCAGCCTCCAACTCCTGGGCTCCAGCGATCCTCCTGCCTCAGCCTCCCGAGTAGCTGGGACTACAGGCGTGCGCCACCATGCCCGGCTCATTTTTCTGTTTTTGGTAGAGACAGGGTCTCGCTCTTGCTCAGGCTGCTCTCAAACTCGTGAGCTCAAGCGATCCTCCTGCCTTGGCCTCCCAGAGTGCTAGGATCACAGGCGTGATCCACCGCACCTGCCCACAATCGTTTTTTTCTTTTTTTCATCCCAGCTGGCACCTTGATCTTGGACTCAATCTTGATGAAACTCAATTGGCCATAGACAGGTGCAATCACTCTGGACTCCCCATGCTACTCCGTCGATCGGTGTCCGTTCCTACGCTGCTACCACACTGTGTTGATTACTGTAGCTTTGCAATACGTTTCGAAATCAGGAAATGTGAGTCCTCCGGCTTTTGTTTCTCTCAAGATCTTGTTGGCTATTCTGAGGCCCTTGACTTTTCCCTATGAATTTCAGGATCCACTTGTCGATTTCTGCAAAGAGATCGATTGGGATTTTGACAGGGATTTGGGTGGAACCTGTAGACACCGTGTTATTCTTCCAATCCATGAGCATGGGCTGTCTTCGCATTCACACGGGTTTTCTTTAACTTCTCTCAACAACGTTTTGTTGGTTTTACGGTATGAGTTTTGCACTTTTTGTTACAGATTCCTAAGTATGTTATTCTTTTTGATTAATTGTAAATGGAATTGGTTTCTTAATTTCATTTTGGTTGTTCATTGCCACTGCATAGAACATACAATGGATTTCTGTGTATCGATCTCATATCCTGCCGCCTTGATGAATTCGTTTACCAGTTTTAATAGGTTTTTAGTGGCTCCCTCAGGATTTTCTGTATACAGAATGATATCATGCAAATAGAGACAGTTTAACTTCTTCCCTTCCAATGTGAATGTCTTTATTTTGTGTTCTTGCCTAGTCGCCCACTTATAGCCTCTAGTGCAATGGCGAAGGGAAACGACGAGGGCAGACATCCTTGTCTTGTTTCTGATCTTAGACGGGGGGGACAGACAGTCTTTCACCATTAAGTATGGGGTTGGCTGGAGCTGACCTTGATCCGGTTAGGAAAGTTCCCTCCTTTCCCCAGTGTGTTGAGTGTTTTATTGGGATGGGACGTTGAACTTTGCAAATGTCACGGTCCGTATTTGAACTCCTGCCTCTCTGACTCCAGGGCCTAAATGCTTATGCGATAAGCTGTATCAGCGGACCCCAAAGGAACCCCACGTGGAGCCCAGCACCCGACAGGAAACAGGAAACGTTTGCTATCTGCAAATGCCCCTTTCTCTTTGGCATCTGAAGTGCATTTGCAGGGAGGGAAAGAACAGAGAGAGAGAGAGAGAGAGAGAGAGAGAGAGAGAGAGAACGACATTTATTTTGAAGCGATGCCGGACGATGGTGGGATCTCTGGCCGAGGGCGAAGTTTGGGGGGATGTTTGGGATCTCGGGCCTGTCCCGCAGGGCTCTCAGGCTGGGTTCTGTGCGGACGACCGTGAACTTGGCGTGAGGAGCCCTGTTTGTGGGCGACGCTGATGGGCAGCTGACACGTCCCAACAAACACACAGCGGAGCCGATGGCCGGGTCTGGGAGAGGCTGAGTGGGGGCTGGGCTGCCAGGGAAGAGGAGAGGGGTGTGGGGGGGGGCTCTCCCCAGCTGCCCTGCAGAAGATGAGAATACTCATTGACTGAACTTTTCACCCAACAATGACTCACGCCCTCAGCGTGCCAGGCGTCCGGGTTGGCAGACACAAAAGACACCCAGAGCCCAACAAGTCCCACCTCGCAATTCTAGAATCTTCCCTGGTGTGGAAATTTGAGGCTTAAGCCTCAGCCCCAGGGACAACATTCCCTCCCTGGTTCTCTTCCAGCGCTGGCTCTTGAGAAATCTTGGTGTGGTGCTACTGGGTCCTTGACACCTTTCTGACACTTGTCACCTCCCCCCCCCCCGGGGCTGCCCGGAGGCTGCAGTGGTATCAGACTAGACTGGTCTGCTCTTGTCACATTGATTTTTATGGTCCTCTTTTTTTGTTTCTGGCCAGGGGTGTTGGGTTTCCCATTTACAGCGGCCGCATTTATCAAGGGACACCTGCTTCGGCCTGCACTCGTGCCGGGTGGCTGACATGGCGTGACTCATTCCGTCCTCCGACAGCCCAAAGAGATAGGTGATTCTTCTCCTCGTCAACAGACAGGCAAACTGAGGCACAGCTAGAGGAGGGAGACAGACAGGAAACAAGCGACTGGGCCCAAATATAAAATTGTCCCCAATTGTGGTAAATAACCCGGTACTGTCGTGAAGATGAACACGAGTGGCCGCTTTATCAAGATGGTCAGGGAGTGTTTCTCAGAGAACCGGAGGGTGAGGAAGACTGGCCTTGGCGAGCGCAGGAGGGACTGAATCCCAGGCTGGGGCGCGGCCCGTGCAAAGGCCCTGGGGCAGGACGGCGCCTGGCGTGTTGGGGGCCCAGCGAGGAGGCCCGTGTGGCTGGAGCGGAGTGAGGAGGGGGAGAGAGGGAGGAGGGCAGGGGCGGGAGGGGACGGGGCAGGTCGCGCAGGGAGGACCTGGGCTCTTACCTGAGTGACAGATTATCTCCTCCACAGCACTGTTAGCTCCAAGGATTTTTAAAAGACCGTTTTGTTTACTTCCGTGTGCGCAGCGCCCCGGCTGAATGTAGCGTCCGATTCGGGATTTTCCCGGGCACGCGCTGCAGTGCATTTTACTTGTTTTCCTTTGCTGTTCACGAGAACCCTTGGAGGTAGAAGTGTTTGTCCCCTTTTTGCAGATGGGGACAGCTAGGCTCAGAGCATTGCATTTTTTAAAAAAATTTTTATTAAAAGAGGGTGTGAGTGAGGAGTGGTGTTTGGTTTCCTGGGTTTTGTTTGTTTGTTTGTTTTGTTGTTGAGACAGAGTCTTGCTCTGTCACCCAGGCTGGAGTGCAGTGGCATCATCACAGCTCACTGCAGCCTCCAACTCCTGGGCTCAAGCGATCCTCCTGCCTCAGCCTCCCGAGTGCTGAGACCACAGGCGTGAGCCGCTGCGCCCCGGCCCAAAGTGTCGTACTAATAGTGACCTGCTCAAGGCTCCTCCCCTAATAGGTGGCAATGCTGAGGTTCATGCCACGTCTCATTTTCCTCTGTCTGCACTGAGCATGCAAGGCTTGAGCACCTACTGTATAGGAGAAACCAAGCCAAGCATTCGTGCGCAGGCCACCTCGTTTGATCCTTCAACATGGGCTTTTGTCCCCATTGCTCGGATGAGAAAACTGAGGCCAGATTGGCAACAACAGGGTCAGGGTCACCCAGCCAAGAAGGAAAACAAGGAGGCTCTGCAAACCTGGCCGCTGGGACACTCGGAGCTTAATTTAGGTTCCTTGTTAAATTATTCATTCGCTCCTCTCCCGGCTCCTGTTTATGACTTCCGCCTTACCGTCTTGTTCCCTGGGTTAATGCTTTTTTGTTTGTCTACATGTTTGGCCCAGAATGAATGAATAAACAATTTTGGAGGAAACCGCGACCTCCCTCCCCCAGTTCTAAAGCTGGCAGTTCCCTGCGGGCACAAGGCCTTCTCCAAGATGCCCTTGGGGCAGAGGCTCTCGAAGCGCGAGGCTGGCCCGCGCTGTCTTGCCTGGCGGGCTGCGGCCCCCCAACTCCAGACGATGTTGCTCTTTTATTTGCATTTCTGTTTATTTCGTGGTCACTAGCATTTCCGGCCACACAAGCTGCCGCCCACAACATGGCAATGCAGTTTTACACCCTTCTTGGGCACCGGGGCGACGTCGCGCGGTTTCGCAGATGCGAGCCGAGAGCTACAGAGCAAACCCATTCTGCAGGTGGGGAGAAGTGAGCCGGGGACCGCTTCTCCTGTGGCCTTTTGTCCCGACTCCCGGGCAGGTGGGCATGGCCATCAGGTGAGGACCCGGGTAAAGTGCTGACTCGCTCGTTCCTTCCGCCTGTGCGTGGAGGTGCCCCTCCCCCCTCCAGGCCGCAGCCTGCGTGTGACCAGAAAAAACTACGGGACAGGCTAGCGCGCCGCAGCGATGGGGCGTCCGTTCCTCGGGGTAAAGGGCGTCCCGCCTGTTTAAGCAGAAAATTGGGAAAGGCGGAGCAGCTGCGAGCACCCTTGCACGAGCAGATTGGAGAAGCGAGAGGTCGGACTGGCCTGGAGCACAGGGACCCGGGCAGGGTGGCAGGGCGCCACGGACAGGCTGGATCCTATTCCGAGAGGAGCGGGAGCCACGGCGGGAGGTTGGGAGCAGCGCACGGGAGTGTCCCCCGCCTCGGCGCCCGCCGCGCGCGGGGCTCTCCGGAGGGCGGCGGACGCACCGCCCACGGGTGTCCCGCGCAGACCCCCGCGGCCCACGTGCTCCCGCGGGCTCTGTTTAAAAGGGCCCGGCCCACGGGGACCGGCCGGGCCGCCCATTGGCCGGGGGCGTGGGCGGGCGCGCGGCTGCGGCAGTACGCGGCACGGGCCGGCGCGGCGGGCGGCGGCGGCGGGGAAGGGGTGACGTCCACCGGCCGGGGCGCGCGAGCCGCAGTGAGTGTCCTCGCGCCGCCCGCGCCCGCCGGCAGCCCGGCCGGGCGCGCGCACGCCGCGAGCCGCTGCGTCGGGCTCCGCTCGGATCCCATGCGCGGCCAGGATGTGAAGCGGGGCAGAGCCGGGGGAGCCCAGCCCAGCCCGCCCGCAGGTAACCGGGGGAGGCACGTCGCGGGTGCGGGGACGGAGGAGAAGCCCGCGCGGGCGCTGCGGCGGGGCCGGCGGCGGCGAGGTGGGCAGCGCCGCCGGCTTTGTGCCCGGCCGCCGCCCGGCTTTGTGCCGCGGACCGCCGCCGCAGCCGGCTGCGCCCCGCGCCGCGCCCCGGCCCCGCGCTCAGCCCGCGGGCCGGCGGCGGCAGGGCGGGGGCGGCGGGCAGGGGCGGGGGCGGCGGCGGGCGGGGGCAGGGGCCGGCTCGCCCGCGCGGCTGGAAGCTGCCCAGCGAGCCGGCTGGCACCGCGCCGCGGGCGGGGCGCGGCGAGGCGCGGGGGCGCGCGCGCGGGGGGCGGCCGGCCCCGGACGGGGTCCCGGAGGCAGGGGGCGCTGTGCGGGTGGGGGACACGCGGGCGCCCCGGAGTGCACGGAGACCCGCCGGGACGCGCGGCTCCGGGTTGGGGCACCCGCCGGTGAGCTCGCGGATGCCGCGCCCGCCACCTCCCCTCTCCGGATCCGCTCCCCGGGAGACCCCGGCCCAGCGCCGGCTCCCCGTGCGCACCCCCGCCCTGTCGCTCCCTTAAGCGGGGGTCGCCCTCGGGCACCCGGGCCTTGCCCCACCCTTCTGCGGCCCGGCGCCCCCTTCCACCCGCACCGCGCGGGGCGCGCCAGAGCCCCGGGCCCCAGGGGCTCCGGCGGACGGGCGCGCGCCCAGCACCCCAGCCTCGCCCCAGTGCCGGGGCCCGTGGGGATCCCGAGAAGAGGGGAAGCCGCCCCTGGAGCCGCCCGCCCCGCGGGCTCTGCAAGCCCGGGGAGCCCCCCGGGGGCTGCGGGGGAGGGGCGGTGACGTCA